AGGAAAAAAGGAAAAAGGAAAAAAGGAAAAAAGGAAAAAAGGAAAAAAAAGAAAAAAGGAAAAAAGGAAAAAAGGAAAAAGGAAAAAAGGAAAATGGAAAAAGGGGAAAAAAGGAAAAAGGAAAAAGGAAAAAAGTTGAAAGGAAAAAAGGAAAAAAGGAAAAAGGAAAAGGAAAAAAGGAAAAAAGGAAAAAGGAAAAAGGAAAAAAGGAAAGAAGGAAAATAGGAAAAAAGAAAGAAAAAAGAAAGAAAGAAAAAAGAAAGAAAAAAGAAAAAGAAAGAAAAAAGGAAAAGAAGAAAAACAAAAAAGAAAAAAGAAAAAAGGAAAAAAGAAAAATGGACAAAAAGAAAAAAGGAAAAAGAAAACTGAAAAAAACAGAAAAGCAGAAAAACAGAAAGAAAGAAAAAAGGAAAAAAGAAAAAAGGAAAAAAGGAAAACAGAAAAAAAGGGAAAAAGGAAGCATGTAAAAAAGGAAAAAAGGAAAAAAGGAAAAAAGGAAAAAAAGAAAACAGGAAAAAAGGAAAAAAGAAAAAAAGGAAAAAAGAAAAAAGGGAAAAAAGGAAAAAAGGAAAAAAGGAAAAAAGGAAAAAAGGAAAAAAGGAAAAAAGGAAAAAAAGAAGAAAGGAAAAAAGGAAAAAAGGAAAAAAGGAAAAAGGAAAAAAGGAAAAAAGGAAAAAAGGAAAACAGAAAAAAGGGAAAAAGGAAGCATGTAAAAAAGGAAAAAAGGAAAAAAGGAAAAAAAGAAAAAAGGAAGAAAAAGGAAAAAAGGAAAAAAAGAAAACAGGAAAAAAGGAAAAAAGGAAAAAAGGAAAAAAGGAAAAAAGGAAAAAGGGAAGAAAGGAAAAAAGGAAAAAAGGAAAAAAGGAAAAAAGGAAAAAGGAAAAAAGGAAAAAAGGAAAAAAGGAAAAAAAGAAAAAAAGAAAAAAAGAAAAAAAGAAAAAAAGAAAAAAGAAAACAGAAAAAAACAGAAAAGCAGAAAAGCAGAAAAACAGAAAGAAAGAAAAAAGGAAAAAAAGAAAAAAGGAAAAAAGGAAAAAAGGAAATAAGGAAAAAAAGGAAAAAAGGAAAAAAGGAAAAAAAGGAAAAAAGGAAAAAAGGAAAAAAGGAAAAAAGAAAAAAAGGAAAAAAGGAAAAAAGGAAAAAAGGAAAAAAGGAAAAAAGAAAGAAAGAAAAAAAAGAAAGAAGAAAAGAAAGAAAGGAAAAAAGAAATAAAGAAAAAAAGAAAGAAAGAAAGAAAGAAAAAAAGAAAGAAAGAAAAAAGAAAGAAAGAAAAAAAGAAAGAAAGAAAAAAAGAAAGAAAGAAAAAAAGAAAGAAAGAAAAAAGAAAGAATGAAAAAGAAAGAAAGAAAAAAAGAAAGAATGAAAAAAGAAATAAAAAAGAAAAAAGAAAGAAAAAAGAAAAAAGAAAGAAAGAAAGAGGAAGAAAGAAGAAAAGAAAGAAAGAAAAAAGAAAGAAAGATAGAAAGAAAGAAAGAAATAGAAAAAAAGAACAAAGAAAAAAAAGAGAAAAAGAAAAAAGAAAAGAAAAAGAAGAAAAACTATAATAATAGTGGTGTGGTCGTGGAGGAAGGGATGCTTGTGGTGATAGTGATGGTGGTTGTTGTGGTGATAGTGATGGTGGAGGATGGGTGTTGTTGGTGTGGTGGTTGTGTTTGTAATGGTGGTGGAAGAGGCGTGCGCGCACCTGAGGCCGAGTCCGCGCCTCCGCTCCGCCAGCGTGAAGCCCTTGGGCCTGAGGTCCTCCAGCACGAGATGGTGCACGGGGGCGGTGCCCCCCAGCGGGCAGCGCGCGGCGAAGGCCCCGTACCGTCCGGGTGCCACCTCCTCCAGCACGCCCTGCGCACGCGCACGCCATTTGCCCCGTTAGTCTACCTGCCTTCACACGGAGCCACTCAGTGGCGCCACAGAGAAGTGGAAGAGCCCTTCACACGCCGCCACTCGGTGGCGACACTAAGAAGTGGCAGAGGTCTTCACACGCAGTCACTACCGACCACCACAAAGGAAGGCAGCCTTCACATGAAGCCACTCGGTGTCGCCACTAAGAAGGGGCGGAGCCCTTCATTTTTTCATAACGTAACTTATGAGTTTTTTATCCTGGCAACTTGGACCTTCCAAGCCAATAAATGGTTTAACATACATTCAAATGTGTTTACTAATAGCACATTAAAGTTATTTCATTTTGTTTGTAGTGTGTATTATTTCACTCACTTGAAAATGGATTTAAAGGATAAAGGGGCCAGACATTTAGTTGGCTCTACCTATCTTGTTTTAGGAAGAGCACGCAAGTAGCCTTTCGCATAGATGCACTTATTAATTTATAAATGTACCTATTAATTTGATGGATTTACTAATTGGTACACTTTTTATGTTTACTAGCGGAGCCGGCAATGCTTGGGCACATGTTTATAGATGAAATACTTTCTCATAAGTATGGATTTCTTCTATGTCCTGATACGAACACGCCAAGTATCCTATTGTATAAATGTTCTCTCTCAAGTTTGTGCGTGCGTTCACTATGTCACTGGAGAAATTTGATTTATTTGCCCGAGAGAACGTTCAAGTAATAATTCCGGTTGAAATCGCAAAATCAGACGGCAGAACATGCAACTAAACTCGCGCTTAATACATGACGATTGCCTAACATTTAAGGTTAGGGGCGCATAAGTAGACTGAACGACTCATTATCGTCTAAGCTACTCGTCACCAAAAACTCCCCTATATGTCTGATTTACTTAAAACCACTCTTTAAGTACTCCTCAAAGACTCCCGATACTAATAATAACAATGTGTGAAAATTTCAGTAAAATCGTTTAAGTAGTTTTACGTGTATATGCAACAAACATACTCATTCCCTGTTATTTGTACATAGATGTAGATTTATTTTATTAAATGTTTGTTTATTTTTATGTTTATTTATTCTTACCTCAATGCGGGGAACAATATTCGCCAGCATGTTTGTCTCAATGGCGAACAGCCCACTTTCCGCCATTTCAGAAGCCATGAGCTCACCAGCAGGTGGGCCCTTGACCAGCAGAGAGCGTTCGCTGCCATCAGATAGTGTTGCCTTCACCCGGTAGATGATGCTAGCGTAGTTGTCCCCAGGTGCTGACCCTCTCTGCACCGCCATTTTCTCTAACCGAAGCGATTCCTGCCCGCTGTTGCGTATCGCCTGTTGTATCAACTCCTTGTTGAGCCAGGACGGAACTTCAATTTCTGTTGACTTTTCTTCCGACATGGTGGTTGGTTCGTCTGACCTGTGGACAAGATTGATGGAATGTATGTGCTGAATGAGAGGACTCGATAGTGGATTTTTTAAAGAATTTGTTTATTTTGAAGGAATTGTTTATAGCGATGGTAGGACAAATGGCTTGAATAAGACGAAAAGTGAAAACATAATTCTCGCTGTGGCCGTGTTCGGCGATAGCAGCGTTACTGTGTGAAGCCTTAGGGGAACGTATTCGGGGGAACATCTGTGAGAGCATTTGAGAGAAAATGTGGGGAATATTTACGAAATGTTTGGGAATCTGTGATGAAGATATGAAGAAACCTATAGGGGAATTGTTTTTCAAAATGCAGAAATTGTTGACATTTGTGCAAGTGGTCAACTGAAAGAGGTGAAAATGATTATGATAGTCATCAATTATTACAAGAGTTTATGATAACATTGAACACAACAACATAAGTCAGTTTGACAAACATTATTGAAAGTAAAGAGTTGTTGAAAAAACATATAATATATATAATATAACATTTTATAGCATCAACTTTTCTCAGGACATAAGACATTTTATTCAGTTCTACAGCGCGTGAGTCTTCCGCATCTCTTTTATTTATTTATCGTCATAAATAGTATAGTAGATCTGAAGAAAAAGTTACAAATAAAAATTCAGATTTTTTCAAGAATTTAGTGACATTAAACTCAAGAAGACAAAAATTGTGAAAAATGTCACAACTGTAATTTGACAATTTTAGTATCTTAAAGCATACCTGCCTACAATTATGTTCTCGTAAAATGTAAATGGATGTATTCTAAACGACAATGTTTCATATATGTGGTCTCTAACGTCATTTGTTACTTAATTCATGAAACTTAGGATTTCATTCAATTGAATTTTGACAACGCCATACATTCATAACTACAAATGAATGTCAACTACCGGGTATTGTCGGTTTCAAATAATATACCAGACGTATTTTTCATTATACAAAAAATGCTTAAAATATGTTCCGCAAGTGTTTTAAAACATGGTTTTAAATGTAAACAGAATTTGTCGTCTTCGACTTACCTTTGTTCTCTAGTGGATTTTCTCGAGGAAATTGTTCTGTGGCACTTTTAAAATTCCCTCTTACACAAGCCTACTACACGTAATGAGATCTACGTGACCTTATTGGTTGGGCTGATGGCCAATGCAAGATCTTGAATCATCTGTCTTCTTGAATCATCTACTATTGTGTTTCTAGCGAGTTCATTCAGCGTTTACCACAGCACTGGTGAATCAAGCGAATACGTACGATAGGTGAGTCTTAAATATAGATTTTCCGAGTCGTTATACTTTCAAACATGGGAACAAGAGAGACAATTCTGATTGTAAGCAGTAAACCGTAAAACGTGAGGAGGTTGACAGTTTTACTCACGGTTCCTGAGTATGCATTTTTTAAACCACTTTCGACATTTCTGCCACATTTTCGGATTTTTCTCAAGACTACATTTTACAAACAAACCAACGTGACTTTCCACAAGCTCATTATCTAAATCTTTCTCAAACCACTCACACACCTACTAAATAACCGTTAATGACGGTGGGGCTATTAACAATTCACAGTATTAATGTTCTTATTCTTCCGTATATTCGCAATTAACGCACATAATTCATACCACACACGTGACTCTCAGCCTGGTCGCAAAGCACTATCAAATCGTGGGCATGGCATTTGGGTCGTGTGCTCATTATTCCTGATTTCTCCGATGTAGCAATATACTAGAAATATTTATACTCATAATAATTATATATTAACCTACACTTAACGTCTGCCACTAACCAACAACTGTACGTAAGGTTCTTTCTGAAACTGTCCTGAAACAAAATTCGAATAAATCTGATGTGCCTGCTCATGTTTACACCGTTGCGCTAATTGTGTTAAACAACGTGACCTTGGACTTAAAGCGATGTGCAGTGCTGCATAGTGGCGCATAACAAAAGCACAAGCGAAATCGATTGCTATGAAAGAACTCACAAGCGATCTCTAGCGGATATTTTGCGAACTTCTTGCAATGGAAGAGCTGTATTTGGCGGATTATTTAACGGTGCGGCACATACGCTCATTTCTGGTCATTCGAATAACATAACCATTTCTGGGAAAACATATTATTTAATAAACATAATTCAAAACGATTTCACTTCCTGGGATTTTCCAGAGTTTCTGGCTTATCTATCGATATTCATAGCGATCTTGGATAGTTGGAACCGAGATAGTTGCATTCCTGCTGAGTTTTCTTCAAACTTCTGCGCGCATCAGAAAATAGTATAATACATAATTTTTTATATTTTCCGAGTTTCTGGGTATCTAATAAAACAATATAAATATCTCACATGGTTGGAGTCGGCATTCATTCAATTTCGGTCCTCACGGGAAATAATTAGTAATTCAGTTTGTTGTAAAAATAATTTTTACATGAATATTAACATTTTGTTTTTAAAAATTAAATTCAGAATGTTCTAAAAAAATTCTAATATCGTCATTTACATTACGGGTGTATTTCATAATTAGCTTTTGTAAACAATAATGCTTCAATAAGATCTCTAATGAAGTTTCTCAAAATCTCAGCTGTTTTCAAAAGTAATTGAAAATCACAGTTTCTGAAAGTCAAGGAATTTTCAAAAATGTCTCCAAATTTTTCCGATTTTTTAAAGTCTTGCTTTTCGAAGAAATTCTGAAAATCTCGTTTTAATTGAAAATTAAGAAACCGTTAATTTGAGAAAATGGAAAAAAATGCGTATTTTTATTACATAGAAGTACAGGAAATTAAACAAAACAGTTGTAATCAATATTCAGAAGATTTGTAAAGATTATATACTGTACAAAATCTTGTGGAAACTTGGTGAATTTTGAGAATTTTCCCATTAGTGAATGCAAGAATAAAAATTTCCATTGCACAAATAAACTTCCGATTATTATTGCAACGCTAACAAATCTTGTTGTATGTCAGAAAATACAATAAGTGAAGCAATGTATATTATTGCTCACATATGAAACAAAGTAAAAATTTACTTAGAAAGTTGCTTTTTGAAGACATAGTATGTTTTGTATAAGGAGTTTAAGAAAGTGATATTTACACACGATACCAGAGTGGTAAATAAAATATACGATATATTCATTATCATTACAAACTACGAACAAGTCTGTGTGATTAACTTACGGTGAATTTCTTTTGTGTTTTTTATAAGAAATATGTGAACCAATTTATCTTTTGATCTGTAAAGTGAACAAATTGTAAAGAAATTTTATTAATATTCCATAAACATATTTTTAACTGTTATGTTAAAAATTAGATATCATCATTAATATAATAACACATTGTTAAATAAAATTATTTCAAATAAACATTCTTCAATACAATTTTTGTGGAATAGTAAAATCCCTGATTTAAAATAAAAATCCAAATTTTTGTGCTCACGCGTTTTTATAATTGTAAACTGGGAACGTTTTTCACCTTTGGTATCAGCAAATAGAGCTGTGGTGGTGTAAGAGTTTAGTCAGGCCATTGCCCCTGCTACAGACGGTGTGTTGATCAAACGAAAAGTGCTAAGTGTAAAGTCCACAGATAGCCGATGAGTCAGCTAATCCTGCACAACAATATTTAGCTCCCGGTGACCCAAATCTCGCAGCATTCTTGCGACGTTCCGTATTTGTGGCTGCGCACCTCAATGGGTTTCTTTGAGTTGTCGACATTCCCCTGTTCACTTTTAATGACTTCCAGCTTCCAACGAATATGGTTATAAGAATTATAACTATATGTTAATATTAATCTTATAATACGTATACTAATAAAAACACATAAATATGTGTCTTTTATTATTACCTGTGTTCATCTGTCTTTCATTAATTCATGTTATTTATCTATGATTATCTATAATACCAAGGATATTTATAATCAATAACTATTTGAAAAGACAATCTATAAACTACCCAAAGTGTTTATATATAATCGTCACCATTCCTGTCACCGTTTTAGACGCAATTACGCTCAGAGAATACATTCCGCAGACATTAAGTAATCCAAGTTGTAACCATGTTACTGAGTAACAATGCATTTGTGCCCAACAAGGTAACGATTATATATAAACACTTAGAGTAGTTTATAGATAGTCTGTGCATCTAAATCTTTTGTTCGACAGTCAATAATTTCCTAAGTAAATTATTTAAAAACTGCCATAAAACATTTATTTAAACATTTTTTAAAAATATTAAAAACTTTTTTTGAATTAAACAATTCATTTTGAAATTAAAAATACATTGATCAAAACTACCATAAAACATGCATTTAAACATTTTTTAAAATATTAAAAACTTATTAAACAATTCATTTTGAAGTTAAAAATACATTGATCAAAAGTACCACAAAACATTTATTTATACATTTTTTAAAATATTAAAAACTTTTTTGAATTAAACAATTCATTTTGAAGTTAAAAATACATTTTTCTAAAGTACCATAAAACATTTATTTATACATTTTTTTAAAATATTAAAAACTTTTTTTAATTAAACAATTCATTTTGAAACTAAAAATACATTGATCACTGATAATAATCGACTGAAAACTTCTATATAAAAAAAAATATATTGCATTTACCTGCTCTCGTGGAGATGTACGAGGAGTGAAAGGCACTTCGAAGAAATCTGCAACACCAAACGTTACTAAGCGCTGCCGTTATCTCGATCTCATTCAGAAACTGATAAGCAGCGGGTCGAGTGGGATATTGTTTGATAAACTCACGCGTTTATCGTAAGCTTAATGAGTCAGAAAGCAAAGACATTAAGAAGACCCGGCAGTTTAAACATTTTTTTGGTGCAATTTTTGTTTCTCTATTCTATAGCTCTGTTTTTCCTCGACTAGTGATTATAAACATATTTCTTGTTTCAGCTTTCAAAACAGTTTTTACAGATTTTTAAACGTTCAGTGCCAGAATGTTTGTGTTACTTGGCCTGACGAGCTGCCACTTTGCGTTTTCAGTTCGTTATAAATATTTCGAGTCCTGTTACGGCAGGGAAGTAGTGAATTTTAGGTTTATTACTGTGTTGCCATTAATATTGTAACAATTGGGCAACTTAACAATTGAATGTAACGAAAGAAACTATTTTTTCTTCTTTTTCTACAAAGTACAGTTTTTGGTACATAAGTAACTTTTTCTCGGGAAACAAGAAACTAATTTAACTGGACATTTCGAGGTAGTTTAAAAATAGACACATGCCCATTTTGACAAGGGGTGTTTTTGATATTCAGTTTTTAAACATTACAGTCGAAACAATAATAAATATGAATTTTGCCAAACATCCGGTCTCTACTCACGAGTCACTAGCAATAGGACTTCGCTTCTCTGTCTGGGTCAAGCAAGAGCAACAACTCGTGATGCTGAGATGTCATTACGTGAGGATGACTGGCTGGGATTGACTATTGGTTATTGGGGGCATGGGGTTATCTGGGGTCAAGCATCGATTTCTTGTGATATTCTTCGTTTATTAACACAGAAGGGTTGGGAAATTTATTGATTTTTACTTTCCCGTATACGAACGTATATACAGTGTACGTGTATACGTAGTATAGGGTAAGTTATGCTGCGAAGATGTTAAGGTATGTAATGCTGCGAAAAATTGATTTCGAGATTTTAATGGAAGTACACGTTTGGGAGTCCCCTAATTTCGAAACATTGTTTTTTCCAAAACGTGCATCTGTCCATCTCTCTGTCCGTCCGTCAGTCTGCGAAGGATTTTTTTCTAAATTGAAGAAACCCTTGATCATTTGGCCTGAGTCGAAGCTCTGCGATTTTGAAAATCATTCATTAGTTTTTGAGTGTACTTTACATGAAGCCCTTCGGATATTTTCAAACTCTTCTCAAAATTGGCCCCAGTTTCTTTCTTTAAATTTCTTTTAAGAATATAGTAACATACTCTAATAAAAGTAACGTAGGTCCAATTTTCACGGTTAACTCTGAAGTTTCGAAAATTTCAAAAGTATGAATTTTCTCCAGTAACTTCCTACAAGTACAAAGTTAAAGATAGAGAATTTTCTTTCAAATTAAATGTGTTCTTCATAGTAAGTTCTTTCATTAAGGTCAAGAACACATTTTTTAAAAATTTAATCTTTTCGCGCACTATTGCATGCAATATTTGCAATTTTAAAAAATAACAAAAACAAGATTTTCTCAAAAACTGCCCGAAATTTTTTCTTTAAAATTTACGTAGGGATAGTGCTAAATGTACTCTATACGATGACATAAACACCATATTGCTGTATTTTTTTCAAAAGTGTAACTTTTTGATTTGTCTCTGATGCCGTTAATATTTATATTAGCGGCTATTATTGTATTTCTGGGTACCTGTGCTGTAAGTAATGTCATATAAAGTTTCTCGAAAACTCAACATTTTCTGT